CAGTGATGGTGTGATTCGCAACCTAAAGCTTACCCTGATTAGTTGAACTTCGCTCAATGCTACTTGATCCATTGACTGACTTTCAAAAGGAATTTCCGTCTAGTTCTGATCGGCTGTATGCTCTAAATTTACTTCCTACTATGTACCTCTGTTACACTTCAACTCTCAAACAAGGATGTAACACTGACCTTGCAGCTACCGCTCAGTAGCTGTTTTCCGTTACTGTCCAAGGCCATGAAATCATCCTTTGCGAACACACAGGTGACGCACTTAGAAAACGGAACCTTTGCTGCCTAGCAGAACGGCTTCTGTAGACAATCTATCGTGCACCGTGAAGCTTTTGCTAGTATTAATTGGTTAAACTGAGGCAGTCGACTCTAGAGATGGGGTCCATGTGCTTTACCTGAATTTCTATAGTATGCTTGACCGCTTAGTTAAGTGGATTTCTTCAAGGCTACAGCAACCACATTCTCAGCTCAGTTAAGTACAGATGACCCACACCAGTTTGCTTATCGTAAATCCAGTTCTACTCTAGACGCAGTGAAAGACCTCGTGCCTTCACTGCTGTCGTCAGCGGATACTAAAATTAATTCCATGCCTACCTACTTACTGGGGCAGAGCAGTGCTTGTATCCATTTTAGCCACAAAATTTCTTTTATGTAATATATTCGCTCCTACGACATAAACTTCCGCCCGACAGATTATTACACCAAACACCAATTGTTAATGACATTCGGCATTTAAAGCTGATCGCCACTTACCACATATTTTGACGCTCTCGTGGATGCTATTCTGTACCCATTTGTATGTTTATAATCTCGTGGGCTTAACACCTGTCCACCAAGAGACTATTGTAATTGAATAAGTATAGTACGTGGCTTTCGGTTCTGAACGCTTAGACACGTCCTCTTCAGAGACTCCAAAGATCTAGTTAGCAGCGCTCTTGATGTGGTCCAAATCTCGTCACTAGGCGCCGAACGTATTGAAATGCAACGATGTTCTTTCCACATCACAGGAAAGAAAACCATCAATCATCATCATCATCATCATCATCACCAACTCCCCGTAGAATGTCCTCATCTTCGTGCCGGTGGTGAGTATTTAATTTCACCCATGTTGGAGAAATAACTAGGAGTAACGCCTTGTCATGGTGTATCATCTTCATAATATGTGAAAGAGACATTCCAGGAGTTCCTTTTACAGTACAGGTCGAAGACCTCCTGCCGTCCCCAACTGTCTGGATATTTGATCCATCATTACCTAATAAAGGTATTGCTATGCTATGATCTTTCCATGTTTACTGAGTAAATCATTTTGAGTACCTATCATATTACCGCAGAAAACACCGATGTAAGGGTGCTTTATCGACGCTGCACTGTCTAATCGTAACGATTGCCGCAAACAAGCCGTCAGAAATACTAATCGATGGTAGTCAACCCTCCACGGCACATTATCCCTGTGTGCATCCATTCTGTCCTACGGAAGGTTGCGCCAAGCCAAGCTCGTACACGGGTCCACAGCTTTTCGATAAGATCTTAACCAGTATGCCGTTTGTTCGATTATAACTTTGTCATCAGAGAGTCAAACGATGAATTCATTCGTTGATTTCATCCCCATCAATGTCTACTCAGATTGCTGCTTTTACCACTTTTCATGTGCAACAAAATCAGTTGCGGTCACCACTGAAGCTTGGGTGTTTTAGCCGAGTATTCACCAATCTCAAAAGCGTCAAGCATATTTTTAGTTTGATTTGTTCCTAGAGGCTGCAACCATGCGAATATCCTACGGCCCTGCAAAGATCAGCGGCCTCGACAGCTGGTTATGATTCAGCTTTATTTGAACCCTCTAGTTTGGGCTTATGGAGTTGGTGGAGCAGATATCCATGACCCAAATAACTATGAATTCTTTGTTTCCATCTGGTCGAAAAGTGTAGTTACGACCGATTTGCAAGGTATTCAATGCTGTTAACCTCATCGGAGAAATCCGTTACGAGATCTGAGTTACTTTCGAGCGGACGTCACCGCTGCAAAACACGGGCCATTGGTTTCACTCTTTTGCTTTTACACATATATTAGTCACCATTAATAGGCTTCCTACGAGTTGTTGTCTAGTCGGATATCACGTGCGTCTAGAGTTGATTTGCACGAAAGTATGCGGTGAACGTTTCTCATGCAATCAACTGGTGCAATAGAGATGGTTGAAACTAACTGCTGGGAGGGTGCTTCAAATTCACCGAGCGCACCACTTTATTGATGTCTTTTCATGGCGAATTGTATTGCCTTGTTTGCGTGTACTTAGTGTTCCGTTTCCCTGTTAATTGCCAAAGGTTGGTTGGCGTGCTCTGTCGATTGAAGGTGGTCGATCCCGTCTCATTTCCTGCTTCAGCACAGTTGGCATATCGGTTGGCTGAGGCTGCATCCACTACTGAATTCAGCAAGTCGCACTAGTACCACAGAAACCCACTCTCGTACGGTATCTCCGACCAGATTCAAGATGACAATAATAATAATAATAAACGGTATCTTCCTTGACAATGCGAAGCAAAATTCAACGCAGTGGCCATGATTCTGATGTAAATCAACTCAGTTTACCCCTAAGTGCTGGGTTTTCCTTCAGTGAATAGCACCATGGGTGACATAGTGGCGGTTTCCTTCCAAGTTTATCTGTTGGTTTACAAACCTTGTCTATAGTCTAATTCTCCTACTTTCCTTGTTTCGGGAGTTCAAATGGGAGTCTAGGTCAGTGCAAGACAAGGGAGGTCGCTGGCTTACTTCTACAAATGTGCACTTTTAACCTACAGTGAGATACTGCGGCTGCGTGAACTAGCTTTAAAAGTGGAGGTAGTATTTTTGTGCAAGATGGCAACCCGAACAAAACATAGGTGTATGCTTCAGAACAGAAACCACCACAGCTGTCTTAAATTTGCGCGGTAACTTCTTTTGAATTATTATTTTCAATCAGATCACCTTTGGTTTCCCCCACCTTATATTGCTACCCCTGTTTACGTAACCATGACGCTGTCATTTTGTAGTACTTGCTCTTTTACCAGCATGAAATCCAGGTCATCTGCTGTTCTTTTTTGGTCTTTTCACCACATCTTGCTAACACCCACATCTGTGGAGTAAAATGTTGCTTTTCTGGATGGTGTTTTTGAAGCTATCGTACTGCTTTGTTGTGAACTATTCACCGTGATCTAAAAATGGGTCAGGTTTCTCTGGTCCACATTTTCGTCAATGAGTTATTGTTTCGCTGTCGATCCCCAGTGCTAAGTACCAACACCAACTTCATACTCATTCATTAACATGACTTTTAAGGCTAAGTGTGACATCACGTTTGAATTGCATCCCGATTCATAGAGCGATTTTTATCAAATTCTCTCTTCGTTTCTCTCTCTACCGATCCATTGCTGTATGTGAGTTTGGTGACAGTTTCCACAGCTGGTTCAAACTTGGCACACATTACCCAACGGATGCATCAATTGATTCTGCTCATTTATTCCCACTTGATCCCAAGGGTTGTTATGGTTCGGTTGTAGCGGTTGTGAATATATTATATCTTTCCTTCTAACCCTCCCGTTACAAACCGTCTTGTACCATTCGTTTGTACAGAGACCGGACGGTCCTGGTCAGCCTTTATATCTTGAAACTCCCATTACGCGATCCATTTCACGTCGACTGTGGATGCGCATGATGTAGTTTACGGGTCGTGGACGTTTCCACTGACAGGGCTGTGGGGCGACAAACATTTGCGCCATTCGGCACAACATGTTCAGCGAATCAGTGAAACTGGGTTGAGATTTTCATTCACGGTCTGCACCATTTGCTAGTTTGAAGTGTATCTCAGTCAACTGGGTCAATGAGACCATAATTGTAGCAGATAAATGTTGATTGCTGCCCGCTCATAGCAATGCGCTTAAGGACTGCCTCCATACTTGTTTGCACTCGCTATGAATGAATAGCGGAACTACGAAAATAATTAGGGACGTAGAGGTCACTGTTCCACCAAACTTCCCCGCATACCTTGGCTCTTGTTTGGATCGCTGCGATCCAACTGCGAGTCTGCCCCAACACTTGTGTTGGTGACCGAAATCTGTCAAACCGGAATCTAAAATAGTGCAATTTCCGTAATTTAATTTTGCCACTACTCAGGCGTCCTCATGCATCATTGCACTGAACTTCCACGAGTGTTTTAGCCGCTTCAATGCACGATTCTGCTGTTCTAACCAATACAGTGAGAAAACGTTTGTTACAAATCAATATCATTTTGTGCTCTCTGATCAATTGTAAACAAGTGACATACTGATCGATCACTGGGAGAAAGAACGAATGATTCGAATGCTGACAGCAATGAGGACCACATAACTTTGCAGACCACAGCAAATTTTCATGTGAAACGAGTGGCACGTCCCCAAGGAAACTTGAGTGTGACAGTCAGCTGTTTTTGTACACAATGAGCAGGACGATTACGATTAATGGTCACTGCCCCAACGAGTTTGGAGTGTTTTTTATCCGTTATGTTGTGCTAGATAACCCCAAAGGTTAAGTCCAGATCAAGCTGATGACTTAGATTTAATAAGTAGTTAACAATCGATGAAGCTGACATTTTAGAGCTTTACGTCTCTTTTTGTATTTGACCTGTCAAAGTGCTAGACCAGTCAGGGTGCAATGAAACTTTTCCCGCGACTAATCTGCTCTGTACTCTCAAAAATTGATTGTCGGTCGTTAAACAGCTGCATTTCTCGGTTGTTTCCGTTTTATAGAAATTGACCTACAAATGCGAACAAATGTTATTTCCTTTCGCTATGATCGGTAACTATTTTTGAACTCCATTTGCCACTCCAGACTCAGATTTCCTGCCCAACTTACCCATTGAGAATGTAAACACTTAGTCATTGAGTACGGTGTCATCATCGACGCAACAATTTCTGCCCACTGTGCCTGCGTTGGGTAAATGTGGAGGAGACGGGACAGCAGCGGTTGTACCATTGTGCGATGACTCACTTGTCAAGCGTATTTTCGACTTCAGCTTGTGTCTCTGTCGGTTTCAAGGTTAAATCCCCGAGTGAATCAGATTTCTTTGCCTTCGCTGAAAAGGTACAGCAAAAGATAACACGTAGCAAAATTAGTTCGTACCAGTGCATTTAGGTGGTCTATGAAAAAAACATGGATGTAAACTAGTGGGAACAGTCGAAGTGCTTGTAATTCATAGCAGCTACTCTAGGAATATCTCTGCTTTTTCTGCCAAGATAACCATTATAGTGATGTTACTGATTAAACAAATAATCTACAGATTACTACATTTAATAACGGGTATTACCATTAGTACACGTCAGCTAAAGGCGCGTAACACCTCAGATAGTGTGCGCAGTACAAAAGAGTGTGCTGAGAGAGAAGGTGGAATACGAAACCCTACAAAATACAAACTAAAAAAGTGAAAAGTACCATAATGCTTAGTATAATATCATGCATAATATGCGAGAACATGCTTGGAAGCTATAGATAAGCGGGAGAAGGAGGGACAAAAAAGAACACAAACCCCATTGAGGTTGGGTCTTCGCCATATCCGCAAGTGTCTCCAACCAAACGTGTTCGTCGTCCATGGGCGGCTCCAGCCGAGCCAAGTTGGAGGTCAGAGTTTTCATTCTCTTGACCCCGTCATTCATCTAGGTGGCGGTCGCGCAAACAACGCACGTCACGGGAGTCGGTGGGCTGGCATGCACAACACGTGACACCGCCATCGGAGCTTGGTGTGTGATATAGTGGTATTGAGTGGTGCACTCGCTCTTCCTGCACCAAATACACGGCGCCGAACACGCTCATTGCTACCACTGTGTCTCTACCAGACATGAGCTAAATTATGAAGCTAGTGATGGCCGAAATTAACTAGCCTCTTGGTGTCTCTCTATCTGATGAACAAGGTTTCGCAACAGCACATGAGGATTGAATTCATCGCTGCGTTTTAAACTCTGTCCTTCAGTATGAGAGTGATTTCACGCCGGCGCCACAGATGGCGAAGAGTAAGAAAAGCGCTTCGAGCTTCCGATAAGATGTTTGTGATCTCATATATTCCACAAGCGCCAATATAGCTCCCCGTGCACTGGAATTTCTGCACAACTTTTAGTTAAACACAATCAAGAGTCAGCGTAATAGTAGGTTGACGCCATTATTGTAGCAGGACTTTGTCTTTCGATTGTGCAGAGTATAGCCCGAAACGATTGACAACCAGCACAGTCTGTCCATTGCTGATTGGCAAGTTTGCCAAACTGTCACAACTAATGGAAATGTCGACGTAATCCAAGTCAAGAAGTCGATCACTTGAGAGCAGCTACACACCTTGTAGGTCGTTCACAAGGAACGTGGTTCACAGAAAAGCGTCGATGACAAAGTTAACAAGGAAAGGTGACAAAAGAAAACCTTGTCTCACATTGTTTACCGTGAGCATGTGATGCCCACAGGAGGTATCCGCAGGCATTTGGTTGTCGTGTTTGATTTCATTCGTAGTAATAGATTCAAAGGCGTCCATGAGACAAAGCAAAACGAAAGATGGTGTATTTTGCAGCTACTCGCTGGTTTCGTTTTATTCTACAACGCGTTTATCACCCAAGAACGTCTTTCTTATCTAATTCGCCCCGAACTACATCCTCGTAGTGCCAGCTGGTGGATCGGGATTATCCCGTTCCAGCGAAAGGTTCGGCGGCAGTGTTCCAGGGCGTGGTGGGTTTTCGCCTGGCAAGCCTTCTCCCTACAAACGCCACATATGTCAGTTTAACAACACTGCGACGTGGCGGAGGTGGCTCGCCACTAAACGAAGTCACTGCCCTTCCTTCACCTCGCCGGAGCATTGTAATCCTTCAGGTTGACAATGAATGACCGGGAGTATTGGGCCCCTGTTTGACAGCCAGTCAAAGGAAAGGCGTATGAACCGAGCAATCGGTCACCGGCTCCCAATGGGCGCGAAGCCCTGAATTCTCCCCGCTGCCTTGCGGGTCAGGTCCCTATGACCAAAGACTCCGGATGGGACCCCCTAATCCAACCCCCTTCCTCGGCCTGGGCGAGCGGGAAGCTGTATGCCCACACAACACATGAAACGATGATTTACAACTCTCCGCTCATGTCTCTCCCTCTCTAAACTCTCTCTCTTTGGCCGGGGTGCTGACGGCCGGTATGCTAAACCTTACTCTACTGCACCGTAAATCAGGTTCTTCGTTCCACGTTTCTTCAACCCTCGTGTTCTTGGCAACCCGCCTTCAATTTCGAGTCTCCAAATGTGCATTGCAAATAAAAACGGTACCTCTGGCCTCCTCAATGAACCGCTCAAAACCGATCGCACACATTCCAATACCAACATCAAGACTTTTATTGCACCTCGCTTGCTCTTCAAGCTACCTACGTTCAATGTTCGAACGCTCATGCAGACTGGTTTACAAGCTGCACTTGCGCGAACCTTGGAAATCCTCTCAATCAACGTTAGCTGCCTAACCGAAACCCGTTTACAAGATTCCAGCACAACGCCACGATTGCTCTCACTCCCCCAAGTTCCAATTGCACATTCACCTTGCGCTTGTCTGGAGATGCGACAGCGGCAGTCTCTGGTTGCGCCGGCGTAGGTGTTGCGTTAAGCGCGCGTGCTGAGGCAGCGCTCATTGACTGGTTCCCGGTCAACAGTCGTCTTTGTGCAATCCGTTTGGAAAGCTCAGTGCGATCTACCAGCCACGGGACCAGTGGGCGCTGCTTATTAATTGTGGCAGTATACCCTCCAACTGACTGCAGCCCGGATGAAGCTAAAGAGGAGTTCTACCGCCAACGCACCGACCCCCTCCGCAAGAACCGCCGCACGGACATCGTGATACTCGCCGGTGACCTAAATGCGCAGGTCGGTAGAGCTTCATGAGCGCGAACTTGGGGGTCAACACAGCCATGGTACTCGCACGACGGACAACGGCGATCGACTCCTGCAACTGTGCGCCGACCACGGCTTGTTCCTCTCTAGTACCAATTTCCGACGTTCCTGGCGCCGAGGAGTCACATGGCGACCTCCGGCGCCTGGTCAATCTTGGACGTAAATTGACCACGTCGCTGTTAGTTACGGTTGGCTTGGCTGCAGAACGGATTGCAAGTCAATATGGAACACTTACCTGACTTCGGTGCATGCGCTCGTGTGTGCTAAGTTCGTTCTGCCTTTTGGAGGCACCCAATAGCGTTGCCGGAAACGGTTTGACACAGACAAGCTCACCGTTCCAAATGTTCTCGGCGCATTTCAAAACACATTAGCCTCCAATCTACGTTCTCTATCCTCCGACATTGAGACACATTGGGTGCAGATCCAGAACGCCTTACGAAAGTTCGCTACGCTGCTCTGTGGCTTTACTAGGCGAGCTGTTAGTCATTGGATCTCCGCACAGTCTCTCCAATTAATGGAAAGTCGTCGAACAATTCCAGCCGGAGTTGAATACAACGCACTACGCAAAACCACAGGTGCTGAGCTCAGACAGCTCCTCAGGAAGGATCGAGAGATTTGGTGGACACAACGCGTCGTCGAGATGGAGCGGGCAGCCTCATCGGGAAACTCCCACAAACTCTTCCAACTTATTCGCTCAACGGGAGGCAGAAGACCAACAGTGAGTGAGGTTTTGAGTGAAAATGACGGTGAACTAATTCACAGTCGTCACCGTCGTCTGGTACGATGGGCAGAGCACCTTGAAGACCAATTCAACTGGCCAGCACTGCAACCGAGTCTGTCTCACAGTGCGCCCTGGTGCGTGGATGCTTCTCCACCGACCGAGGCTGAGGTTTCCAATGAGCTTCGCCTACTAAAGCGCTACAAGTCACCTGACCCAGATGAACTTCCTCCTGCCCTCTTCAAATATGGAGGTCCTGCTCTCACTCGCGAACTGACATCCCTATTCCATCAGATTTGGACTACTGAAGCCATTCCATCCGACTGGAATTTAGCGGATGTTGTGCCTGTTTACCAAATTGGAGACCGGACCATTTGCTACAACCACCGCGGCAGCAGTCTCATTTGTGTCGCATCCAAACTGCTCGCTGCCCTACTGTTAGGGAGGCTCAGTTGCGTACGGGAACAGCACCTGCGTGAACAACAAGCTGGATTTCACCCGCGTTGCGGTTGCGTCGATCACATCTTTACGATCCGCCAGCTACTTGAACATCGCCATACGTTCAGTCGGCCAACCATAGTCATACTCTTGGACATTCGAGCCGCTTTTGACTCTGTGGACGGAGTGGCTCTTTGGGACTGCTTACTGAAGAGTGGAGTACCTGAGAAGTACATCAGCATTCTCCGTGCTATTTACCATTAAACTTCGGGCCGCGTGCGAGCATACGGAGACATTTCGCCTCCTTTCAGTATCATTAGCGGTGTTAGACAGCGTTGCCCAGCCTCTCCATTCTTGTTCAACTTCGCCATGGACGAGACCCTGGATACTGCCCTGGCTAACTCTGAGTCCTGCGGTGTTGAACTGCTCCCTGGTGACCGCCGATGACATCCCTGTGATTTGCGAGTCCTCCCAAGCCGCCCAGCATTTGCTGCTCAGACTGGAGATGTCTGCCACCCAATTTGGATTGAGCTTTGTCCCTTCCAAATGTAAGGTCCTATTACAGGACTAGCCAAGCGCATGTCCTTCTCTCGCCCTTTCGGGGCCTCCGTTGGAAGTGGTCGACAAATTCATTTAGCTTGCGAGTTGTCTTAGTATTGGCGGTTTGACAGCGGAGATCTCTCTGCGTGTCTCCAAGGCTAGAGTCGCTTTCGCTTCGTGATCTCAGCCTCGCTCTCAAGGGACGAGTCTATAATGCTACGATACGAGCGATTCTTCTGTACGGCTGTGAGACTTGGCCCTTTCGCAAAAGCGATGTTCAACGGCTATCAGTCTTCGACCACCGTTGCCTGCGAGGCATTTCTGGTGTTCGATGGCGGCCCCAAATCAGTAATGGGTAAATCCTTTGGCGAGCCTTCAGATCTAACGAACTCCGCCGATCGATTGATATCATCATCTCACTGCGGAGTCTTCTCTGACTAGGCCATGTGCGTCGCACGCCTACCCAGCGGCTACCACGACGAGCCCTATTTGTGAGCACAGGCGTGGCTTGGAAGCGACGAAAAGGAGGACAATGTGCAATGTGT